AACCATTCAGAGGTGCTAGGTGGGGGCGGGACCATGCTGGACCTTGAAAGTTGTGTTTAAAATATTTGTGTTCATTGTAAGAATATGGAAAACATTTAAAAACTAAGAATGTTAAGATATACTTGAATTCCTAAAAGAGTGCCGTATGTGCGTTACAGAGAATCAGCTGAAGGTGGGGAACAGGTGATGGGAAAGTGCACTGGTAAGGAATATTTGAGCTCTAAGTGAAAGATGGCGGCACCATGGATGGGAGTCACTAGATTGGAAATGCAGATATTGGAACCCTTACAGAGAAAAACCTGCCAAGCTTGGTAATGGATTCATTAAATAGAATTGAGAGACAAGGAGCTGTCAAGAGTGACTGACAAATGCCTGGTCCTGTTTCTTCTTCCATGGGTCCATAGTGACTAACTTGGTTTGAACCTGCTGTCTTATAACTTTGTGCTATTCACAATCTTTCTGTTTCTGTTGTTGTTTGTGCCATTTAGGAAAGAAGGAAAGGAGGAGAATGACTGGTTTTCTTTTTAAGTGCAGTGAGTGTTTTTGTTTAAAGCTAAGGTGCATTAGTAGTTTTTCCTCCAAAAGATTTTCCCACTAAAAAATCCCTGACTTTTCTCTCTTTAAAAAGATAACAACATGTAATACATTACCTATTGCTATGCTCTTATTATTTTGTTATGAAATTCTGTTTTACTTTTTCTTCATGAAATAAAAAAATCTCTAGACATAGGACAATTGCACTTACTCGGTTAGTCCATTTCTCACCACCAAGACACTGTACTTGACACCTACAATTTAAAAGAGAGGCTTATTTTGGCTGATGGTTTCAGAGGGTTCAGTCCATGTTCAGTTGGTCCAACGCAGAAACAGCTTGAGTAAAGGGCATGGTCGTAGAAAGCAGCTTATCTTAGTGCAACCTAGAAACAGAATGAGACGGGAGTGCATGTAGTATTGTACTAAGGTGTCTTTAACTTTCAAGGTGTCTAGCTGGGGAATATTTGGGTCAAATTTATATAGAAAGGCAGAGAAACTAGAATAACTGTAACAACTTTCAAGAAGAAGAATACAGCATGAGAATTACTGTACCTGCTAGTAACACTGTCTATACAAATATATTAATCAGGACAGTGTGATACTGGCAGAGAAATAAACACTAGATCAAAGGAAAAAGTGTAAGAACTAGAAGCAGACTAATAAAAATATAACTAATTGGTTTTGACAAAGGTATAAAAACAATTCAGTTGGAAAATAGCCTTTAAAGCAAATAGCACTGAAGCAATTGGACATGACTGTAAACAAAAGCAAACATTTCCCCCTCCTTACCACATACACACAAACTTCAACCTAAATCTCACACTTTATATGAAAATTAGGTCAAAATAAATTATGAGTTTAAAGGCAACCTGTGAAACTTCACAGGAAGTATAAAAAAGTAGTAGAAAAACCCTTTACAATCTAAGGATAGATGAAGTGTTCTTATAGGTGACATTAAAAATACTATCTTTTACATTTAAAATAAAAGGTACTTTGAATTTCATATGGTTTCAGGAGAATTAAATGATGGAGGTATGATTGAAGAATATGATAAATGTATAAATTAAAAAATATTACATTAAAAGACACATTGCTGTTTAATCTCTCTCACTTGAAACATACTTACCCATCTCCTTGACACTTCCTGAAGCAGTTCTGAAAGTCCTCTTAAGTTAGTGACTTTAATTGTATTGTCACAGATGCCTTAATGTCTTCCCTCAGTTCAAACTGTTTGTCTTTCGTGGTCCTTTTGACTTTGGGAAAGAGCCAGAAGTTGCATGATACCAGATGTGATCAATCAGGTGGATGAGGACCCACCAGAATGTTTTTATTTGGTCAAAATTGCTGTAAACATTGATCAATGTGGTGTGATAAAAATCATGATAAATATTTTAAGTTAAAAGTTTATTACAATAAATGACACATTGCCATTCACCCCTTTAACAAACTCATTCATGCCAACTGTTAACACACTTATCCTATCATTCTTGGTACTATATCTTTTATTGTAATAAGTTTTTTATAATTATAACTTCACTGTATTTTTCATTGATCTTGTATGTAAAATAGTTTAGTGCTGGCACTCTCTAAGTTCAATACCATCTCATGAAATGATAAGGAAAATGAGAGTTGTAGGAAATATATGAAAGTTCTCTTCAGAGGTACCTGATTAATTAAGGCATTCATGATACAATGTGCAAATATCACACTGTTGATATGATTGCCTCCAAGTAGGTAAGGCGATTGATCTCATAAATTTCCAAGGTGGGTGAAATTTCTGTAGTCCACCCAACAAGGACGAAAGCATCATGGCAAGAGTACAGATTTAGGATAAACTCAGTGGCACAGTGCCTGTCTGGCAAGCTTAAGGCCCCGAGTTTGATTCCCAGTATCAAAAAAAAATGAGTATAGGTTTAAAATGTTTGAAACCAGATAAAAAGTCTATTGGGAGCAAGTGTATTTTGGGTTAGGGAAACAACGTGAAGCAACTAGAGAGGCAGCAATAAAATGATACGTTTTCAGGACAGCAATGGGGCTATGGAATAGGGATTATTTCAATAATAATGGGAGAGAAGACCAGGAAGCAAAGGGCAGTGCTGACTTTTGGAATGTTACATAAAACCATAATTGCTCCACATACTCTGGCCTGGGGTGCTCTTTTTGGGTAACTCTGGCTAAGATAGCCATGACCTTTCTGGTATGTCCAGTTGAAGCACCACCTGCAGGAAGACTCTGCTAGTAACAACTTCCCTCTAATGAATTTCATTTCAGATTATCTTTATTCCTCTGATCGCATGTGACCACGCATGTTGATTTGCCTCGGGCATTCTGAATTATGTTATCCCAAGTCATTATCAACAGTTCATCTTTTCACTTTAAAAATGTCCTGTTTGTATGATAAAATATGAAATCATCTACTTAAAACTCTTATCATTTCTCTCTTTTGTGTCTGTCAGTTACATCTGATGACAAGGTGTCCATAGGAGTACAGCTCCTATCTTTCTAATCCCAGCATAGACCGTAATAATTATGAAATGTATGTGAGCAAAGAGACTGAAAACTTTGCAGTGTATGTCCTTAATTTTTTTTCTCTTCATCTCTAACACAAGCTGCTATTAGATCTGCATATACTTGGTGCATGATAGGTTTGTGAACTCGTTTTGACTTCTACAGGTTTCTATTTTTGGATTATGCTGCATATGGCTTTAGCATGGTCAAGAAGTGTATCCTCGTAAAACTTCTCTCTGCTTTCAAACCTGTGCACGTTTTCCACTGACAGTTTGGGTTGGGGTTAAGGTCTGAAGAAGAATTTCTTTGTAAATCTGTGGTATCAAATCAAGCAGGATGCATGAGTGTGTTTTCTTCTCAATTGCCTGTGGGTAACTGAAACAGCTCTATTTTGCAAGATTTAACCTTTTTCATTATGAGGTCCTTGTTAGGAACTTTAAAACAAAAATTAATGAAGGCAGATAATATTTCAGTTGAGTGGTACATTGATTTAACAATTCACTGAACCAACTACATTGAATTTTGATTTTTGTTCCAATTAGTGTTATTTCTTTGAAGATTCTAGCTTGGATTTCCACTCTTGATTTATAACCTTTTGTGGTTTCAGTAGCCTTACTTGTCTTTCTTCTTAAAATTGTTAGGGAGTTGAAGCAGCAGATGTTAACAGAAGTAAAGGGTATAAACTTTCCCCTCTTGTAATTTACAGAGTAAGCATCTGTATAACTTTATAAACTTCCTAGTTATGAGAGGAAAGGATAGTTACTTATGAGATCTTGGTCTCTAGCCTGTTGCAGCCCATTTTTGTAGTGTAGATCCATTTCCCTCCACATCTTGTAGACTAAGGATGTCACTGCTCTCTGAATATGCACAGTAAAATCATTTCACAGTGGCAACATCCAGGGGTTAAATTCTGAGCCCTGTGAAAATGGGCTGCATGGAGAATTGACCTGCTGGGGCCCCTTAAATAGAGTCCTGAGAGTAAATCCATTTCCTCAGCACAACCCTGTGCTCACCAGCCTTCCCTGTGACCACTGTTAGCTTTTGGAAATACTTCTTGGTAAGTAAGTGCTCCTTTGCTAGGCACCATTAGCTCAGTCTCCCTCCTTAGCTCTACTTTCTTTGTTCTAAAAGAGCCATGGTATCCATCATATGTTTTTAACCTTGAAGTAAAGTTTCCCCACGGGTTGCACTGCTGGCATTTGGACTGGTTAATTCTTTGTTGTGTTCTGCTGTGCAGTGTAAGTTGCAGAGCAGCATCCCTCGACTCTTGTTTTCAGTCCTAGCCTCCATCATGGCAACAAGAAGTGTCTTCAGAAACTATTACGTGATTCTTGGAAGAAGGAATGCAAAATTCCTGCCTTTAGAGCAGCTGCCTTGGAGTCTTTGCACAAGGCTTTTGAGAAGGCAGAAGCAATGGCCTTACAGCAGCTCTTACCCTCTGTGCGGTTGTGACTATTCAACCCAATCCATCAACTTCACTGGAGTGAGGCCTAGAAGATCATGTGGGGTAACTGTGTAGGTCACGAGCTTGGCTGCTCTGTGGTTCTGGTCTTCTTCCCTTCTGATTCTCTTCCTCTGCTCTGCTTCCTGATCACCATGAACTAAGCAGCCTCACTCCTCCACACTCTTCTGCCACGATATCTCTGTGTTGGAGCCAGTGAACCATGGACTGTACCCATGAGCAAATTAAGGTTTCCTTCTCATTGTGGTTGCTGGGTGTTCTGTCTCAGCTGCCTATATAGGGCACATATAAGTTTTCTGGCAGCTTTGATACCCAATCAACCTTTGGGTTTGCTGAGATTTCAACCACATCATATACAAAGACATCCACGCACGCAGGGTGTTCCCATGAACGCTGCTCACTGTCATCTCATGGGTAAGGTACAGCTACAATTTCCAACAGCAGTCATTCCAACTTAAGAAAAGGTGACTCTCTTTTTTCTCTTCCCTGAAAACAGAGCACGATGAATGTGGCAGCGGGCAGCACAGCTGTGACGAGAATGCCATCTGCACCAACACCGTCCAAGGACACAGCTGCACCTGCAAACCAGGCTACGTGGGCAACGGGACCATCTGCAGAGGTAGGCCTGCCACCGTCGGGGTGAGCTCTGCGTGCCACAGCCAGCCCAGGCTCTTGGGTACTTGTCGCGGGTGCTCTTGTGAACACAGCCAGTGGTCCTGTCCCTGATCAGTCAGCCAGCAAGGACACTGGGCAGGAAAGAAAGAAAGCAGTGGTGCGAGCTTAGCTTTTGGGTTGAGGGTGTGGCTTGGGCACACAGTTGCACAAGCCGATGCCTCTGTTCAGCTTTGCATCTTGGAACCTGAGTGTGTAAGGGAAGCTGCAATGGCTGAGGTGAATTTTCTTCCCTGTGAGCTTTGCTTATCAGGCACATGGGCACTGTTCCCATCCACAGTCCAGTTACCTGTTTGAGTAAGAAACAAAGCAGTTAAAAGTTTTACCTTAATGTTTAGCAATCTAGACACCAGTACTCTGGCTTCCCTCTGCACTTAGGATAAAATTAAAGCTCCTTCTTTCATCTTCTGAGGCCTTCAGAATCTTGTCCCTGACTCCTCTTAGCTGCCACCTGTCTTTGTTCACACCCTCAATCGCTCTGCCTCAGCTCACTGCTTCCTCATCATTCCTTCAGCACTGCTGTCCCCTCAGCCTGGAGGTGAGTCTACTCCACATCTCTAGGGCCCCTGCATCACAGAACCATTCTCTGAACGCCCTATCTATAGTAGCACCCGTAGTACTTCTCAGCCTGAAGCTTGCTTGATGGCTTTCTTCAGAAAGCACCTGGAAAAACATTTTGCATTGGTGTGTTTATGTGTGTTTCCTATTCTCCACTACAGTATAACCTGGTGACTGTGACATCCCAGTCTTATCACCATAGTTTGCACCTAGCAACTAGAAAGAGCCTGGCATAACTTCGATACTCATTAACTCTGTGTTAACTGGCTCAATCAAGGAGCAAAAAGGCAGTCTGTTGAAAAAAGAAGCAGCATTTAGAAAAAAGAAAAGGGGCAACCCATCATAGAGATGTTGCTCTCATTCTCATTCTAGAGGTGATGCATTCAGACCCAAGAGGTCAAGTAACTTGCCCAAGGACGTGGCATGTTATCAGTACCCCTATAAGAGAGGTCCTGTAATAGAAACTCATGGATGTCCTGTAATAACAACTTACAATAACTAAGTTACCATATGTGTACACTGGATTGGAAGAGAACTGTGAAAGTTTGATTTTAATCTATGGTGGTCCGTGTATGGTAAACAGCCTCACATATGATTGAGACAATAAGTTGGTGAAACTTCTTTGGAACAGCAACTGACAAAAATCTATCTACTCTCAAAATATGCATTTTCTTGATTCTATCAATTTTACATTTGGAATGAATTTTGGAAAAGTAAAAGATTGCAAGCAGGAAAACATGTACATACAGTGATGTTTTTGCATCAGTGTTTTCATTCACTTAAAGCTAGAAACAGCCAATATATCTACTTGTAGTGGAACATTGTATTTATTTTGGGCATTTGCTCATGGAATAGGATGTGGTGGTTTGAAACCCTCAGCATGTAGATGTACAAAGAGATACACACTCATATGTGCACTGAAAGTCTGCAAGACATATTTTTGAGGAAAAGAAAAATAAATGAAAAGCACTATGTATGATTATTTTATACCTGGTATTTTTTTATATCTCTATACGTACTTATGTAAATATATAAAAACTGGAAATGTGCCAAGTACTCACTTCTATATCCATGAGCAAAAAAAAAAAAAACACACACATAAAAAACTATGTTATTTCCATCTTCCAGTGGGAATTTGTACATGAAATATGTGTGTGGTTTTGAAAAGGTCCATGAAGTAAGTAAACTAGTGCTAAGCATATTTCACAAAGGCTGAAAAAAAAAATAAAAGAAGGCTGAATAAATTTTTAAAGGAAAACAAAAAAGCAAAACCACAAATATAGTTTCATGGATTATCAAGCCCACTGCTGGTATCTGCATATCAGTGCTGTATATTAAGGAGCAATCTGGAGATTTGATTTTAATGCTCTTTATTATCAGAATTGTGTTGCTTCATAAAATAATATTAATTGCCTTTGTTCAGTGAGTCTTGTGTTTGCTACGTCCTCTTTTGCTTTTGTGATAAGCAGCCATTTCACCTTTGTGAAATTTGAAAGTCTGGATGTGAAAAATATGAGTTCAAATAATATTCCTGGCGTCTGCATACTGAGAGGGGAAGCATATCTTCCCTTGGAAATTATGAATTAGGAAAATAATTTATTTAACATGGCCAATCGCGTTGACCTCAGTAAGAGGGAGAATTCTATGCTTTATGAATGTTGGATGGGAGGCGATGTGGTAGAGCTAAGGAATGCCATAAGAGCTTGAAAACTGGCTCAGAACTGCTTTTACTACTGGTGAGTTGAAACTTTTATGTTTTTATATGCTACAATTGGTTTAGCATTGCAAATAATTATGGAGAACATATATCCTTGTGTTTTTAATTATAAAAGCTGTACAATGTGAAAACATGACAGCGAGGAGATGAAAGAGGAGCTGGGGTGGGCTGGGTTCCATGAACTGGTTGTGCCTCAGCCTTCTCCCTGAAGCACCAGATTGTGCCTTAGTTTCAGGGCACTGTTCCGTGGGTGACCTTACCACCTATAACTGAAACGTGGACTGTGCGAGTTGGCAAAGTAACTTCTTTACAAAAAAAATGTTTTATGTACAACCCACAGAGTGAGGAAACATTTTAGCTAACTGCCCCTCAGAAAAAGACTTATATCTGGAATATATAATGAATTGAAAAAACTCAGACCCCCCAAATTCAAAGACAAAAATGGGCATCTGAGATGAATACCCATTTCTCAGATGAAGAAATACAAATGGCAAATAAATACATGGAAAAATGTTCAACATCATTGGTCATTTGAGAGATGCA